CGTTTCGGCCGTCGGCGATGAGCGGTCGCGCGACGGACGGCGTTCGCGCGTCGTCCGCGCCTTTCGCTTTTCGATCCGGCGTCGAACGCGTGCACTTTTCCCCTAGTAGGACGTCGCGATCCGTTGGGTGTCGGTCTACGGCTCGCGGTGGAGTCCGTGTACGATCGTTTCGGCGATTCGTGCTCGAACCCGCGATGTTCCGGCCGACTCGCTCGACGGTATACAGATGGCGCGAGGCCGCTACTTCTTCAATTAGCGTCCGACCCACGACAAGCACGTTCGATGCTAAGACGGCGATCGGACCTAGCGCCCGGTTCCGTCCCCGGACGACTGTTGGTCGTGCGGATTTCTCGGACAGACCTCGTTTGAAACGCCGATCTGCGACGCTATAGCTTTGGGTAATTTCAGGACCCGTCTTGAAACACGGACCAAGGAGTCTAGCATGTGCGCGAGTCATTGGGACATAACTAAACCTAAAGGCGCAATGAAAGTAAAGATCCGCCTAGCGCGGATTTAGGGAAGATGGGCGGCACGTCTATAAAGCGGCCGCTCCGCACTCCCGGGGCGTCTCGTTCTCATTACGAGAAGAGGCGCACCAAGAGCGTACACGCTGGGACCCGAAAGATGGTGAACTATGCCTGGTCAGGACGAAGTCAGGGGAAACCCTGATGGAGGTCCGTAGCGATTCTGACGTGCAAATCGATCGTCGGAACTGGGTATAGGGGCGAAAGACTAATCGAACCATCTAGTAGCTGGTTCCCTCCGAAGTTTCCCTCAGGATAGCTGGCGCTCGTCTGTGACGAGTTTCATCCGGTAAAGCGAATGATTAGAGGCATTGGGGTCGAAACGACCTCAACCTATTCTCAAACTTTAAATGGGTGAGATCTCCGGCTTGCTCGAACTAATGAAGCTGCGAGAATCGAATCAGAGTGCCAAGTGGGCCATTTTTGGTAAGCAGAACTGGCGCTGTGGGATGAACCAAACGTCGAGTTAAAGCGCCTAAATCGACGCTTATGGGATACCATGAAAGGCGTTGGTAACTTAAGACAGCAGGACGGTGGCCATGGAAGTCGGAATCCGCCAAGGAGTGTGTAACAACTCACCTGCCGAAGTTACTAGCCCTGAAAATGGATGGCGCTGAAGCGTCGTGCTTATACTCGGCCGTCAGCGGCATGTGCGGTCTCGATCCGCGTAAAAACGGATCGGCCATGAAGCTCTGACGAGTAGGAGGGTCGCGGCGGTGCGCGCAGAAGGGCTGGCCGTGAGGCCGTCTGGAGCCGCCGTCGGTGCAGATCTTGGTGGTAGTAGCAAATACTCCAGCGAGGCCCTGGAGGACTGACGTGGAGAAGGGTTTCGTGTGAACAGCCGTTGCACACGAGTCAGTCGATCCTAAGCCCTAGGCGAAAGCCGATGTTGATGTGGCGTTGTTTTATAAATATATGTATGTATGTGTGTATATATAAAGAACACGCCCGTCGGGCGAAAGGGAATTCGGTTCCTATTCCGAAACCCGGCAGCGGAACCGTACAATAGTCGGGCCCTCGCAAGAGAGTTCGTCGGGGTAACCCAAAAAGACCCGAAGACGCCGTCGGGAGACCAGGGAAGAGTTTTCTTTTCTGCATAAGCATTCGAGTTCCATGGAATCCTCTAGCAGGGAGATATGGTTTGGAATGCGAAGAGCACCGCAGTTGCAGCGGTGTCCTGGTCTTCCCCTCGGACCTTGAAAATTCGGGAGAGGGCCACGTGGAGGTGTCGCGCCGGTTCGTACCCATATCCGCAGCAGGTCTCCAAGGTGAAGAGCCTCTAGTCGATAGAATAATGTAGGTAAGGGAAGTCGGCAAATTGGATCCGTAACTTCGGGATAAGGATTGGCTCTGAGGATCGGGGCGTGTCGGGCTTGGCGAGGAAGCGGGTCGCGGCTGACGTGCCGGGCCTGGGCGAGGTGAAACGTTCTGTCGTATGCGTTCGCGCGTGTGCGGTAGGATTGCGGATCCGAACTCGGTACCGTGCCTTGGCCTCCCGCGGAACCGTCTTGCTGCGAGGCCCAGAGTGCGCTCGCAAGGGCGTTCTGGTGTCCTCTTCGGCCGCCATTCAACGGTCAGCTCAGAACTGGCACGGACCGGGGGAATCCGACTGTCTAATTAAAACAAAGCATTGAGATGGCCCCTGCGGGTGTTGACTCAATGTGATTTCTGCCCAGTGCTCTGAATGTCAACGTGAAGAAATTCAAGCAAGCGCGGGTAAACGGCGGGAGTAACTATGACTCTCTTAAGGAGAACAGGAGCTGGGAGGAGGTAGTTCCGGAGATAAAATCTTTAATACGTGATATCTCCGGAACCAGACTACGTAGCGGCAAACGGTTTTCACTCCCGTACGCAGAAAGGAGAATACTCTTAATCTTGCTGGTTACGGTCATCCTGCGCATGCGCAATGGCCGACCCGGCAAAGAAGAGGAGCAACCCCGCCACTTCGAGAGGAGGAGAGAGCCACACACGTGGTGCGAAGGCACCGCGTTTAGCCACCCGCGATGGCCCTACCGAAGGTAGGGGCGGAAAACCTAGAAGTCCGCCAGCGGGTGGCAACAAGACTGCCAGCGGCCCTCTAGCTGCTGGAACCAGTAAGGCAGGCCCAAGTAACCTATCCCCAAAAACAGGAGCCAGTGATGCGGCCAACCTGGGGCCTGCCAAACAGACAAGATACAATTGTGAGGACTGCGGGAAGGCGTTCTACACCAAGAATGGACTTACAAGACACAGACCCGCGTGTGGCACCGTAGAGCGGACCAAATGCCAGTACTGCGGGTCGGAGTTTTCATCTTTTACTGGCGTGCGACTGCATGAGCACAGGGCACACGCCGCTGCAGTTAATGACGAGAAGAGGGAGAGGCTGAAAAGGCCGGAATCTGAACTGATGCAGATAATGGCGAGAATAGAAGCTGCCACTATAAAGGGGCAACCCTTTATAGACAGGATGGTTTCAGATACCGGCCTTACTCGCGACCAAGTGCGGCACAGAAGAAACAAACCCGTTTACAAGGAGTACCTCTGTGCCGCCAAAGAGATCCAAACAAACAATCTCCCTTTCCCTCGGCCTGTGCCCTCGGCTGGTGCAGCGCGCGCCAGTGCCCATGTGGAAACTCCTAACATCGAGGTGAATCAGTCCACACTGAGACAACTGCGGAGCAATCTCCGCAGGATATTACCAACAAAGAGGACAGCGAAGACGACGGAGACGGTAAGACACCTAGAGCACATATTGTTGTTACACCAATTTTGCAGAACGGCGGTACGAAGCGACAACGTAATGAGTCGATGTCGCCTCTCATGCAGCCGACGCCTAGAAGGGCGCGATGCGATCACGACCTCACTCCCCCCCATGCACAGCCCAAGACCCAGGTTACTGTTAACCACCAGCTGCGCAGCTATCTCGTCACTGAGCGGGAGGCTGCGGCAGCTGACGGCCTGGGTCATGTTGTGGGAGCTGTGCAATGCGGGTCTCGAGCTAGCCAACGTGCAGCTGGGCCCCTATATCGATGACTGGATTAAAAAGCACTTTCCAGAACAGCGGGGTGGTAAGAAGGGGGAGAAGAAGGGGAACAAACCCCCTCAGAGAAACTACGCCCAAATAACAACAGGGCGGGGTCCTAGGGCAGAAGGTTTCAAAAAAGCCCAGGACCTCTTCAACAAAAACCGTAGCTCTCTAGCGGAGAAAATTATTTCTGGAACTCCGCTAGACGAGAAGGAAGTTACTCCCCCTATTGACGAGGTCGAACGGTTGTATCGCGGCATCTTGGAGTCGCCTGCGCGAGAGGTGACAGACGTTCATAACAAACCGCTGACGGAGGACACGAAAACGTTCCTGCCCTTCAGGCAGGACGAGATTGAAAATGCCAAAACGTCTTGGGGCAACTCGGCGCCTGGCGCCGACGGAATTACAGTGTCCTCCGTGAAACGGGCCAACAACAGGGTGCTGTCCGTACTATTCTCTATATTTTGATACGGAATGTGCACCCTGTTTGCTTCCGCCGTTCGCGCACTACTATTTTTATAAAAATGGTCAACGGTGTGACCCGGCCAACTGGCGCCCACTCACTATCGGGAGTGCCCTTCAGAGGCTGATGCACAGGGCGATGGCTAACCGCATACGGGAAGTCATCGCCCTGAGCACCAACCAACGCGGCTTCACTGCGGTGGATGGCACTCTCGCCAATTGTATGGTCCTTCAGGCCTACATTAGGAACAGGGTGGGCGCCGGAAAAGGGTACTGCGTCGTCTCACTCGACGTCCGTAAAGCCTTCGACACTGTTGGACATGGGAGTGTTGTTGGGGCGTTACGGAGATTCGGAATAGACGAGGGCTCCATCAGATACATATTGTCGACCTTGACCACCTCGGAGACCGCCATCAAAGTGGGTGGCGGCGAGCAGACGGGGAGCATTCAGATTAGGCGCGGGGTCAAGCAAGGGGATCCACTTAGCCCACTGCTATTCAACATGGTAATTGATGAGCTGCTGAGCCGGCTTAACGACGGGAACAGGGGAGGCACGATCCTTCCTGGAGTGAAGGTCAGCGCTATGGCGTTCGCTGACGACATCATTTTGCTGGAGGACGAGGAAGTTAATCTTCCTCTGACGCTCAGCGAAGTGGTGGAGTTCGCGGGAGCCAGGGGCATGGTTCTGAACCCCGGGAAGTGCTCGGCCATGGTGGTAGGATCGGTGTGAAAGGGTCGCTAGTCCCAAGGAAAGAATATGGGCTAAAGATCGACGGGCGCCGTGTGGCCATGGTGACGGAAGTTAACAGCTTTCGCTACCTGGGCCACGATGCGTCTGTCGGTGGGATATTGAGGCCCTCACTCACCAACCTACCATCGTGGCTTCTAACCTGAAAAGGTCCCCGTTAAAGCCCGATCAGAAGCTCATATAATCAAAAATTATATAATCCCCAAGCTCTTCTACGGCCTCCAAACGCCGAAGGTAACCTGCAAGCCCGGTCAGTGGATCGCCTCATAAAGGGAAGCGTTAAGGCGGTTTTGCACCTTTCTGTGCATACGCCCGACGCCGCCCTTTATGCGGCGATCCGCGATGGGGGTCTGGGGATCCAGCAACTAAGGCTGAATGTTCCCGCGGGTGTTTCTCAACAGACTCGTAAAACTGCTCTGCTCGAATCTCAACGAAGATCGGGCGCTGATGGCGGCGCTGCAGAGTGACTGCACGCGCGAGCTCATGCACAGGTTGGAGGCCTAGCGGGCGAGGTCCCTGCTGTCCAGCTATGGCGAGAGCGGCTGGCGACATCCCCGATATTATCGGGGATGGAAAACTCCTCAGACGATACAGCCAGCCGCTCTTGGCTTCAGGAGAAGCCTAAGGCTGGACAGGTAGGGACTTCGTTCGCGCGGTCCAACTACGTACTAACAATCTGCCAACCGCTGGCACAATGTACGCCTCTGCGGCGAGCAAGATGTGCCGTGCAGGATGTCGCGGGTGGAATCTCTCTGCCACGTCCCCAACAGTGCCCCAGCACCCACTGGGAACGCATTAGGCGACATAACGAGGTGGCAAAGAAGGTCGCGAGGCACTGCCGAACCAAGGGATGGACCACTCTGGAGGAGCCCTACGTTCGCCACAGGGACGGGACTCTTTTCAAGCCAGACATGGCTATCATGAAGGGAGACCGCGTCGTTGTGGCGGACGTGGGGTCAACTGGGAGGGTAACATCCCTCTACATCAAATATAACAATAAAAAGGCGGTGTATGACAACGCCAAGTTCCTCGAGGCTGCTCGAGAGTTATGGCCGAACAAACCAATTGAAGTTCACGCCATAATTCTTGGGGCTCGGGGAATTTGGCCTCGATGTAATGAGGAGGCTTCGTCTGTTCTTTCCTCGGTGCGCCCCTTCGTCGCTCCTGTGTACAATCGGTGCTGAAGTGGGGCGGCAGCATACATGCCGCCTTCGGGCGCCGGGTGTGGCGGCGCCGTACTCCGGCCGCAGTGCGTTAGGTGTCTGTCGTCTCCCTCGCCTGCGAATGCTTCACGGTGTGGGCTATACGCCCTCTACAGGGCTGTGGTCCGTTCTATACGCTAAATATGTAACTGTAATCCTTACCTAATTATTTTATTATATTTACCATCTATTTACATATACAGTTATTTATTTATTTTATTATATTCAATACTATATACACTTCTTGTTGTGCTGTCCATCGTGCCGTCCATATACACTAATAGGTTAGGTGCGTGTTTTATATATATATTTTAGGTGTTGTGGGCCGTGGCCGATATATGTAACCAGACGCGTATTTTTATCTAATATGTGTCTGTGTGCCTGTGTTGGCTACGGCGTAATTTTAATACCTTTATGTATGTGAACCCGTCCTAATTTATTATTTTAATATGTGTTAATTATTTATTTAGCAGTAAGCCTGTAAGCGTCCACAATTGTACACTGAATATAACAGAATGTTATTTTAATTTAACAACCCCATAACATCGGGGTACATGTATTTATTGAATAATAAATATT